TTATTATGTTGGTGCAAAAGTATTTGTGGTTTTTGCCATTACTTTTAATAGCTTCCTAATGCACAAATGTCTTGAAGACCACACGTGGGGAGCCCTTGGTAAGAAGCCCAGCTTGCAAGATTGGTGGAAAAGTCAAAGAGGTTAGAGTGGAGAAAATGAGATCTTTGCTACATGGAACTATAGCTCAAGAGAAGAGACCAGAGAATCTGCAAGGTCAGATGAAAACCTACAAGATGTCCTCAAAAGAATCTGATAAGTACCTTGCCAGGGATCAAAGCCAAAGAAATAAACATAATCACAGACTGCTGGCACTAGAATGCCCTGTAAGACTTTTGTGTGTGCATTCCCTCTATTTCCCAAATGGAGAAACTGACTTTTCAAAAGTGGAAGGGGCTTGCATTTGGACACCTATGGGAGTTAGAAGCAAAGCCAGGAATAGAACCTGGGTGTCCTGCGCGTCATGCAGTGTCTCAAAAGAAGGGAAGAAGTAAGCCAGGGAAGCCAGCCAATAGAACTACTTGCTGGTCATGTTGTAAAAGGTCTGTTCAGGGACAAAAGGGAGATACAAGAGACTGTTAACACATTCCGAGCCATGCTCTTTATTGTCAAGTTGTCTTTTGGAGGAGGCAATTTGGAGGGCTAAATGAAATGGTGGTAAATGTGCATGGTATTCTAAGTGTAGCTGACTAAATAAATGGATGCTGATGAATCGCCAGGACCAGATGGCATCTATCCAAATTTTAGGTAAGATTGTGTAACAGCTGACCACAGCGTATAGTCTGTTGTTCCAAATAGCTATTATGCCAAATAGCTATTGTGCCATGAGCTTGACAGATTGGCAATGAGTCTCCTCTCCATGAGAAGCATTTTTAAAGGGGGCCCAAGGAACTTCAGGCTGGTAGGATCACTGAACATGTTAGGCAAGTGTAATGTACTGGGGGCAAGGCATCATTTTTCTCCTCAATTAAATTAACCACCATTTGTCTAATGTCTTACAGTTTATAAAGAACTTAGGGTTAATCATGCCTAACAAATTGACTAGAATTATTTTACAGGATAAATGTGTATGTGGACAAAGGGAAACCATGGATGTAATCTACTTAGATTTTGAAAAGGCCCTTGACAAGATCCCATGCCAGACACTGTTTTAACAAGTTAAGTCACCATGGAATTGTGGAGCAGTGCTTTGAAATGGATAGGGAAGTGGCTTATAGAAAGGAAAGCACAAGTAGGAATAAGCGTAGACTTTTCTGGAGAAGTATAAACAGCAGTATGTCTCAGGGATCAGTGCTGGGACCAGTCAAAATTTTGGCAAGTCGTCTGGGAAACCTTTAAATGATCACAACTTTTCCAGGTAGCAAAATGCAAAGCTGACTTTGAGCTTTTTATAGTTGTATTGATAACCAGAGGAAAAAGTGTCAGAGTAGACTTGTTCAAGGAGTGCCCTCTGAAACCTGCCTTCTGGGCTCTGAATCCTGACTGTGCCCTTCATGACTGTGTGACTTTAAGCAAGCCACTTCACCTCCACCAGCATCCATTTTCTCATCTGTAAAGTGAGAATAGTAATGACCCCTACCTCATAATGGTATCGTGAAAATGATATGAAACAATGCATGCCAAGTTCTGGTACAGTGTTTAGAGCATAATGTGTCCAATGAACATTAGCTTCTCTTATTTTTGCTTTTCATGTTTATTCAACATTCTTCTATGGGTTGCCAGGCTCTGAGTGTCCTATGGAACCTCAAAGCCGTTGTAGACTGTTTCATGAAAGCACTGGCAGAATTCATTTTAGTAATGAATTCAGAGGACAGAGGTAACTATGGACTGAGATGGCTCTGAATGATTTCATGAGAGAAACTAACAATTATGGAACACCTAGTGCATGCTAGATATTTGCCTAGATGCTTTATAAATGTTCCACCTTGATTTAATAGTCCTTTGAAGTTGGGGTTATGATCTCATTTAATGAATAACAGAATGGAGACATAGAGAGGAGGCTAAGAAGCCTGTCCGAGGTCATGCTCACTCATAAGTAGAGCAAGAGTTTCAATAAATGTTTGTCTTACCCCAAGACCTATTTTTTTTTTCACTGCATCACACTTGAATTGCACCTTGAAGGATGAGTAAAATTTAAGATGAAAGAAAAAAGATATATCTATATAGAAATAAATATGGGCAGGCTGGGCACTGGGGCTCATGCCTGTAATCCCAGCACTTTGGGAGGTCAATGCAGACAGATCACATGAGGTCAGGAGTTCGAGATCAGCCTGGCCAATATTGCAAAACCCTGTCTCTGCTAAAAATGCAAAAATATTAGCTGGGCGTGCTGGTGTGCACCTGTAATCCCAGCTACTCAGGAGGCTGAGGCAAAAGAATCACTTCAACCCAGGAGGCAGAGGTTACAGTGAGCTGAGATTGTGCCACTGCACTCCAGCCTGGGCAACACAGTGAGACTCTGTTCCCCCCTAACACAAAAAAAGGTTAAAAAAAAGGAGAAATAAACATGGGCAGTGGTGTGAAAATAGAAACAAGAACAGTATGTTTTTGGGGTTCACGGGGTATAAATATGGCTGTTCTTGCCAAAGTGGAGGGTTCTTATTGGGTTAGTGGTGGGAAATGAAGCCAGAAGGGCAGTTTAGGCTAGACCAGTAGGCCCTCAGAACTTTGCTAAGGAGTCTTAGCTTTATCCTCAAGGCAATGAGAACAGCATGGAGGTAGCTGAGCTATGGAGAAAGTATGAGATGCCTTTGAAAGATTAACCAGGTAGCTATGCAAGATGAATCTGATGGAATCTTCTGCCTGGGTCTCAAAATCTTTGTCTTCTAATCTACTAGCCTAAGGCTCTCAATACTCCTGCCTAGACCTAGAAGCCTGGAGACCACTTAGGATGTGACTATAATAGTATGTGCAGGAGGGTGTGAAGGGGGAATAGAAAGGAAGGATTAACAGAAGCAGAATAAATTACAAAGAAAGAATTGGCAGGGGTTGGGGGCCTAATTGCATATAAGGGCAAGGGAAAAGAAAGAAGAAAAGATGGCTTTAGGTTTAAGCTTCAGTGATCAAGAGAATGATGGTCAGTTGACAAATCTGACTTGTGACACATCACGTTGGGGGTGGTGATGGTGAAGTCAGAAATGATTAATAAGCAGCTGGAGATGTGGGATGGTAGCTCAGGAAAGCAGCTGAGACTCGTGGCAATGACTTTATGTAAGTTATTTCCCAAAGCGTTATAATAGTTAAGGAATGTTCACCGTAGGATTATCCACAACAGCCAACAGGAGGAAGCAATCTACATGCCCACTGATGGATGAATGGATAAAGCAATTGTGGTACATACATACAATGGAATATTACTCAGTCTTAAAAAAGAAGAAAATCTTGTCACATTCTACAACATGGATGAACCTTGAGAAAATTATGCTAAGTGAAATAAACCAGTCACAGAAGGACAAATACTACATTACTCCATCCTATATGCTGTATCTAAAGCAGTCACAGAAGCAGAAAGTAAAATGATAGTTGCTAAGGGCTGGGGGAGGGGAAATGTTGAGTTTGCTGCTCAATGGACATAGAGTTTTAGTCACACAAGATGAAAAAGTTCTAGAGATCTGTTGAACAACAATGTGCATATAATTAACAATATCGTACTGTACACTTAAAAGTTTCTTAAGAGGCCAGATTCCCTGTTATATTTTTTTTACCCTAATAAAAAATAAATAAACAAATCATAAAAAAAAAAAAAAACGTTGAGCCCAGCCACGGTGGCTCATACCTATAGACCCAGCACTTTAGGAAGCTGAAGTGAGAGGATCACTTGAGCCCAGATGTTCGAGGCTGCAGTGAGCTGTGAACGCACCATTGCACTCCAGCCTGGGGGACAGAGGGAGACCCTGTCTCAAAAGGAAAAAAAAAAGTTGAAAGATGGAGAATAGATAAGATCTACATTCTCTTTGGAGAAGAGATAAAAGACAGAGGCTTAAGAAGGGACATCTAGATAATAGCCAGTTTCAGGTAAGATTAGGAAGAACAACTAAGAAGGAAATAGGCTGCCAGAGAAATAGGAGCATTTAGCATCTCAGAGGCTGTGGATGATAGGGTTTTAAGAAGAAGGCTGTGCACCGTAGAGGAAAGAAAATGGCACTGGAAGTCTCAAGACCCGAGGTAGATTTCCAGTTCTTCCATTTAGAGCAATCTCATTTCTTCTCTGAGCCCTGGTTTCATTATCTGTAAAGTCGAAGAACCCCTACCCATATGAAAGTACTCTAAACTGTGATATGGAATAGAAATGTGAGGAATTTTTGTTGTTATTTTGCCTCCTTGATCCCAGCAGTACTATATTACTTTTTTCTATTGCTCTTGTTTATTTTTATTTTATTTTTTTTATTGAGACAGAGTCTGGCTCTGTCTCCCAGGCTGGAGCACAGTAGCACAATCTCAGCTCACTGCAGTCACTGCCTCCTGGACTCAAGCGATCCTCCCAAGTAGCTGGGACAATAGATATGGCACCACATCCTGCTAATTTTTGTATTTTTGTAGAGATGGGATTTCATCATGTTGCCCAGACTTGTCTGGAACTCCTGGGCTCAAGCGATCCTCCCACTTCAGCCTCCTAAAGTTCTGGGATTATAAGCGTGAATCACCATGCCCTACCACTCTTGTCTTTACGTAGGTCTTCAGTTATGTGCCATAGCCTATCTATGTTCGACTGTGAGAAAATAAAATAGACATAGCGTCCTAAGAAAAGAGGGCCAGCTAATGGCTCTTCCTTTGAAAGTTATCCCACAATTAGTTTTCACAAGACTCCCAAGGTTGCATTTCTTTTTTTGTTTTTAACTTTTGTTTTAAGTTCGGGGGTACATGTGCAGGTTCGTTATATAGGTAAACTTATGGGGCTTTGTTGTACAGATTATTTCATCCCAAATTTGCATTTATTATTATCCATTTCTTTTTATAAATGAGAAGAACCAAGGAAATCTCCAGTGAGAAACAGAGCAAACTGATTAGGTCAGTTCTTCTTAGATAATGAAAAACAGGAAGTTAACCTTTTAATCTACCCAAGGCTGGAAACAGGCGCTGGGGGTGCGGGGGCAGGGGGCATGGGGGAGGCAGGGAAAGAACGCTACCTGAAAACTTCACTTTCTAGAGCTTGTATAGTCTTTCCTTGAAGAGTTGATGAGATTGTATATTGCAGGGATGGTAGGGGAATTATAGAGAGCAGGTTCAATTTATTTTTAATTCCTGAGCATCACCATGTTTAGATTACATTTGGGTCAGCACTAATCAGTCACCTGCAAGGAAGCGGAGCTGATTCTTCACTTTCATCATTCCATCACCAGAGCCTCCAATGCACTCATCTTCATCGTCACCGCAGTCTCCACTTTCAAACCCTTCCTCATCCAGATTTTTATCCAGAACTCTACCTTTGGGCACAGACATGGTTCTCAGGAGCTGAAAGAAAACAACCAGGAATGCATCAGCACTTCATATATCTCAGGTAGGTCTACACAGTGTGTTATTAACAGGAGGCATTGAAAAATGTTCAATGAATTACACAGAAGCTTTAAAAAATCACTTTCAAATTTAAGTAGCTGTAAACTGCTTATACTCTTTAGAGTTTCATACTTCTGGACCTTCCCACAGCATTTGATGTGATGCTGTACTCCTTGACTCTACTTACATCATGCAGTAGCCAGAGTGTATATTGCATTAGATGGTCTCGTACCATGGTATTTAAGCTCCTGAAAGTCTCCATGATACAACTCACTGATGAGGAACTTAAGACATGGTAACACAAAGCTAGGAGGACATCAATATCAGAAAAGATCCCTCTGGAAGCCCCCAACAACCAAATTTACAGTCACTAAATTAAAACCACAAAATGCTTCCTACCAAATGAAGAGAATAGCAGTGCCATTGTATACACATTTACAATGACTACTTATAATCAATCATCATCATTATATATGTCTTGATCACTAGAAAAATGGTTTAATATTCTCCCCTCCTGCAATTCCAATAAGATGCTTTTAAATTCATTTTGCTTTATTGTAGACAGTATGCATAATAAGAGACATGTTTGTTTCACTCTGCAGTATCTGGCTTTTCAGTCACATGGCTAATACGTTACTAATTTTATGGGACTCCCACCTTTCGAAAGTCTCTCCACTGACCCAGAGACCCAGTGCACCGCATGAAGGGTCCCCAAGGGCCATTGTCCAATTCCATCTTATTTTTCCTCACCATCTCTCTCCAAGGCTTCATTCTCATATTCTGTTTTTGTCCTGGCTTCTTCCTCATCACCCATTTCTCATACTAAATCTTAGTCCCATCCCCTACTTTTAAAAGACAACCAACAAAAGATTCTGGATATACAGAAACTGATATTTTTGTGATTGTGGAAGAGGTATCCAGAAAGAAAAATTGCTGCAAACACAGGTTGGGGTTTCTCAGGTTCCCACAGTCCCAATGTTTATTGCCACGGCTAAGTATACTTTTATGTTCTCCACCTGTGATTTAGCTGCCACACTGAAACCTACTTGGAAAAAGCTCCATACTACAGAGAAATGGGATTCTGCAGGTGGTTTTTACATTTTTATTTTTATTTTTTAGCAAAGAGGAAAGCCCCAAAGAGGTTTTTGTTTTGTTTTTTTTTTCTGGCCAACAACCTCTAATGTATTGCAGAAGCCAACCTACCAACTGGTTCCCACTCCAGCACCACGTTCACTCTCCCACTCCGGCACTTCCACTCTGTCACCCTACCACGTCCTCTGCTGCTCATCGTACACAACTAAATTTATTATATACAAATACAGGCTAAGTTGAGCTGGATTAGTGATTCTCAAACTTCTTGGCCTCAGGACTCCTTTATACTTACTGAGAACCACAGAACACTTTGGTTTATATAAGTTATATCTATCAACATTTACCATCTTAGAAATTATAACTGGTAAATTTTTAAAATATTTGATAGCTTCTGTAAACATAACAAGAATGAACCCATGATGTGACATAGACATTTTTTTTTTGACACAGGGTCTTGATCCATCACCCAGGTGGGAGTGCAGTGGCATGATCATGGCTCACTGCAGCCTCGACCTCCCAGGTTCAAGCAGTCCTCCCACCTCAACTTCCCAAGTAGCTGGGACTACCATTGTGTGCCACCATGCCCAGCTAAATTTTTTTGACTTTTTGTGGAGGTGAGGTCTCACTACGTTGCCCAGGCTAGAACATAAACATTTTTTAATGACAAACATAGTTTCACAGACATAAGATAATTCGTAGAAAGAGTGGCACTATTTAACATTTTTATAAATCTCTTTGATGTCCAGCTTAATATAAGATAGCTGGATTATCAAATCTCCTTCTCCACTCAATCTGCTGTGATGTATGGTTTTGGTTGAAACATTTGCAGTTAATCCAACCTCCCACAGATACATCATAAGAAAAGAGAGAAGTATTTTAGTAGACTTTTCAGATAATTGTGGAGATTTTTCTTTGATACTACATTAAAACTCAACAAGTAGTTGCAATGAGGAATATGAGACTATACAAATAAACATTTCATGTCCTGTTACATTTGAATCCATTGGTATGTTTTGAACTTTGGACATGCATTTTACTCATTTTGTATCATCATGCATGGGTCATCTGGAAAATATTGGCTCACTGAGCAATGTAGGTCTTCCAAATGTCAATACCTTTCATTATATGACATAAAAAATCATATTCATTAATATTACCTCCAATCTCATCTGAGAATTCTTTAAGCTTTGGGAAGCTCTGAAGCTCACAGTGGCAGATAAAAGTTTAAAATAATTTTTGGTTTTCTATTGAAAGTTTGAATTGTATTATTGGCAATAAATACTGTCAGTTGTTTTCCCTGAACTGACAAGCTGTCTTTGTTCCTTTCCAAGAAAATGTCTAGCAAATATTCAAGTCTGCATAACTATAGTTTGTAAGTCATTCTCTCAAGTAAAAATGGAACAGGAGGCTCACAGCTCAAATATCTCACAAGTGCTTTTTCTTGAGATGCACATTGACATGGTTTACCGTGTAAATACTTTAAGTGCACCTCCCATTTTATAACACAGAATTTTTAAAAAGTGTAAGAGATGAGGTTTAATAAAATTAGTAAATTTTTACAGTTTCAGCAATGATACCCTTAAGTGAAACTGCCCTTTATTTTTCTGCAAGTACACACCAGTGAAGAATACAATGACTACTACAACATTTTGGTGCCATTGGCTGAATTCATCCTGTGGTGTCTTAATTCATACTGCGGCATCGAAGAGTTGTACTTACCATTGCTTTTGAACCACTGGTGCAAAAATCCACACAGGGAAAAAGACAAATAACATCTTAGTACTGTTGTACAAGTAGTCTTAACCTTGCGGATCCCTGGATTTCTTGGATTCCCAGGGTCCATAAACCATTCTTTGAGAACTGCTGATCTAGCCTATAACATGACTTCAGTTTCATCAAATGTCTTATGAGAAATTTGCTTTCAACATTATTATGTGTTATGAGAAATTTGTCTTAGGAGAAATTATGTCTTATGAGAAATTTGTCATTATATCTTACGAGAAATTTGCTTTCCACATAAGCATTTTTATGTTAATCTTCAAGAATGCATTATTTGTGTACATCATGGAATACCTGAAAAATTTTTCACATAAGTAGAATTTATGTTTAGATAATTAGTGAACTTGCTATTTCTCAAGCATATCTTGCATCTGTCCTTTTCATTAACACTTCCATTACATATTCATTGAGAACGCACTATGAGCTTTTCCTCATTTGTGTCTGTTCAAAGCCCTCCATACTTTCAAGCCAAGTTCTAATGCCATGTCATTAATAAAGTTTTCCTGGTAGAAAGTCATTACAGCTCTCCCTCTCCCTTTTCTACCACTGTTCCTTTTATCTGTACCTCCTAAATGCCACTTTCTCTATGCAATCTGATATTATTTGTACATATGACTTCTCTCCATTACCATGCTATGAGCTGCCCAGGGGTTTCATTTTATATATCTCTGAACCCCAGAGCATTTAAGGCAGTACCTAGCACATAGTAGGCACTCAATATATATGCTATTGAACTGAAGCAAAATGAAGTGTTATGGTATCTTTAATTATTTAAAAGCTATTTCCACAACTTTATGAAAAAGGAGAAAGTCAAGGCCCAGATTAATTATAGAAGAAGATATGTGGATGAATAGCTAAACACTTTGGGAGGACTTCAGCTCAGACTTGTAGCCAACCTTTGAGAAGCCATTTCCAACCTGTGTACAGTGCTCCCAGTATTCTTGAGTAGCTCAGTTTAAAACAAAGTGCAATTAAACAAAAACCCTTTAAAACTTTGCCAGTGAAGTTACTTCTTTAGGTATTAAATCACTCCTATTTTGGTGACAAATTCAGCATGGAAGAAGGATTATAGTAGACTTTTAAGCTATTTTACACAGACAGCCGCTGATGAGCCTAACCCTCACACATTAACAAAACAAACCCAAACCTAGAAAGCTATTGTTAATGGAAAAATCTTAAAGAAGAGACTGAAGCTCTAGAGTGTTGAAAGAAGAGTAATGGGTCATAGAAGAGGAATTGCTAGCAAGGAGTGGATTTAGTGCAGCCTGGAATTTGGCCCAGAAATCCAATTGCCTAATTATAGTTCACAATATTGACTTTTTGTTCCCCTTCTCAGTCTTTCAGACTGAACACTCACTTTATGAAAAGACAATTATGAAGGACTTGCACCAAAGGTAGGTAACTTTAGGGGCCTAATACTTTGGATTAACTGTTTGCTATTTTCAAAGGACACTGTCCTGTTAGCTTTTTGAAAGCCAAGGCACACAATAATGATTATCAATGTAAACTATCTTATTAAAACCTAGGTCTGGCCGGGCGCGGTGGCTCAAGCCTGTAATCCCAGCACTTTGGGAGGCTGAGGCGGGTGGATCACGAGGTCAAGAGATCGAGACCATCCTGGTCAACATGGTGAAACCCCGTCTCTACTAAAAATACAAAAAATTAGCTGGGCATGGTGGTGCGTGCCTGTAATCCCAGCTACTCAGGAGGCTGAGGCAGGAGAATTGCCTGAACCTGGGAGGCGGAGGTTGCGGTGAGTCGAGATCGCGCCATTGCACTCCAGCCTGCGTAACATGAGTGAAACTCCGTCTCAAAAAACAAAAAAAAAAACCTAGGTCTAAGTATTTCATTCCACTATCCCCATAGACATTCTGTTAACCTGACACTTCTGCTGTGCATTACTTTGCATACAGAGGACACTCTAGTGGAGGTGCACAAGACCCTTCACATTCCAGCTTTTTCTATAGCCACTACCCTCTGAACAACTCTGTTTTAGGCCACTGAGACTATCACAGTTTCCTAAGCATACAATCAACTTTCTTTTAGAATATAATATTTTAAATATGCAAGTATCAAATATAGAAACA